GTTTATTGGTTTGTTGATTTTTCATCTTTCTTTTAAGTTTTTGATTCCTTTTGTTATATTCTTTCTATTTTGCCATATTGTAGTCTGTCTGTTTTCGACTTATCACTATTCAATTTGATATATTATTACACTTTCTCTATTCTTTTGGCCATGGTGTTGTATCATTTTTTCGACTTATTAGGGTTAAGCCTTAGTCGTAGTTGACACATTTTTTTGTTTTCAATTCTCTTAAACTTCGATCTTGATTTTGCTTTCTAACTATATTTTTAGCACCACTGATGAGTTTAATGTATACGAAACGCGCATCTGGCATACCAAAGTATAAGCCTTGTATCTAAGTCGAATTTGGATTTTCGGAATTTTTGGTTTTCAATGTTCTTCAACTTCGTTTTTTATGTGACTTTCCTACTGTTTTGATTCGAGAATAAATGATGAGTCTTATATAGACCAAACGCTCGTCTGTCGAAACAAATTAAAAAGCTATTTCTTGGATGAGTTTTTTTACTTTTTAGTAAGTCCTGTTTTGTTGTAGATTTTTTTATTTAATTGATTTCACTATATCGGTTTCACAGAATAACATTAATCAAACCAAATATAAACAGGACCATAAAATACCATATCAGACGATACATGTATTAGTTAAAAGAAAGTACTGTATGCGTTCATTGAAAGACCATGTTTTCTTGCATTCCAATAAAATCCTTTTGAATAAAAGGAGATGTGGGGTATAGGGATAATAACCAAAAGACATCTAGAGGGCAACATACAATTTCAAAAATTCTCCAAATAACAGAAAACATTAACGGTAACTTTTGACAATTTACTTGACTATGGGAAGGCACACGAAAATAGTGTGTGGTTAAACTAGTTCTTAAAAACTTTATTCAATAGATTTCGTATAGCAATGTGATCAATATTGTTAGAAAGCAAGATCGTGTGCAGCGTCTGTTATAAAAGAGCAAAAACAATTTAAAATGCATGAAAATAAGTTAATTGTGTGTTTAAGTAACTGCAGGCGAATAATATTTATTCATAGAAATATCAAGTATAAAGATAGATCGTTAATAAATTGATTACCTGTCTAAAAATCTCATTAAAGATTATAATTTGGACATCAGACGCGCGATTCGTCAGCATAAGACTCATAATTGGCGCCAAAGCTTACACCAACCACAAAGGTCAAACAAAATACTCTTAAACTTACAAATCTTGTTAACGTAAAATATATAGCATGACTTACCTTTTCATCATCATCATTATAATTTTTAATATTATATTCATTAAAGTTGAAATACATACACCCATAGTAAGTCCTAATACATTTTGTAAAATTTAAGATACCTTTACAACTATAAACAACTGTCATACAAGTAGGAGGTTTAGCTAGCTATAAAATCAGGTTCAACCCACTATTTTCTTCGGAAAATGCCTGTATCAATTTAGGAATATTGCAATTGGTTTCCACTTGTTCCGTTGATTGATAGCGTTTGATTTTTTTCAGTTTTTATGGACTGCCTCTTGTTGAGTTTGCATTGGTATTTTTATGATACTTTTTTACATGCAATTCATTATGAATTATGAATTGATGTTTCATGAAGCTCAAGACCCAGTTGTTTGTGGTGGGGATTTTCTCAACACAACAGTCAAAACAATTTCATGACATTTTATTTTAAATTCGGATACAATTTATGTCAGATGTGTTTGACAGATGGTAATTCCTGTATATTATTTACCTTCAACAAGAAACGTTTATCTTCAACTCAGCAATACAGGTTTATTAAAAATTTAGGGGTCATCAGTAATATGTTTATATCATTCGAAACACTTACGGTTCTTCTACAATGTTTTGAATTGTTTAGTCTTCTATGCATGCTCGTCACACTAGTAATTGATTTGGCTGTCAAGCTATTTTCATTTGACGGCCACTGATGAGATTCGTGCAGATAAAACAGCGTCTGACATATTAAATTATAAGCCTGGTATTTTTGAACACTTTTCACCATAGATCTGTTCATCAAAGTACCACGAGAAAGTGACCAAACCATATTACAAGCTATAAATAGTTCCAGTTCTATACTAGTATTGTGAATCAGTTATTGTTGTTCAGTCTTTAGTTTTCTATGTTGTGTTTTGTGTACTATTGTTTGTTTGTTTGTTGGTCTTTTTCTTTTTTAGCCATGGCGTTGTCAGTTTATTTTCGACTTATGAGTATCTTCCGCCTCTCTTTTACTTTCCTGTTATTACTCCTTCAGAGTCCTGTACAGGTCTTCGTGTGATGATCATATATCTTTGCCAGCTTTCATTTTCTAGTAAGACATACTCAGAATCTGGTATAAGCTGTGGTGTTTTTAGATTATCTCGGATTTGGTCAGAAATCCGTTTTTTAAATCACATATCATTGTTACCTCTGTCTATGATGTTCTAAATGATCATTATAAATATGTTAACATGTGGTCTGAATTGCGTTTTCCCCCTATTATTTTCTTGTATCCTTGAGGTTATTATCATTGATCAAGCTGAAATTTGAACAAAAATACACTTTCACTATCTTTTTAATATCATTGCATATTTTGCAACACCAGTTTGTAAAGAAGCGAATAAATACTTAAGTAGGTGATAACTGCATAGTGTTTCAAATGTCGTTGTCTTATATATGTACTAAATTCAATTGTGAAAAACAAGATTAAGAAAGAAAACAAAAGTAATATGTTTACGAGCTTTGTGTATTGCTTTGAATGAGAATGTTTAAAATAAAATGACAACTTGAATTAATAATTATATTGAATTCACATCTATAAAACGTTCTTTATAAAGATTAAAGGGGCATTAGCTACGAGATATAGACAAAAATAAGATATGATTTTTTTTTCTTCAATCATTAATGAAAGTGAAATAGTGATATAATAATTCGCTTTTAGCAGCCAGTTTGGTTCAGTTTTGTCAAAATAAGCAAAGAATATCGCTAAAAAATTATTCACTTGCAAGTGAATAATTCGACCTCATTAAAAACGTATTCATGTGAACTTCAATTGAACCCCTTAGCTAGAGATGGGTTACGCATGAAATAGGCGTGTTCAGCTATTAAAAAGAAAAGAATGTCAATATTGGAAGTGAAGCAAGGGCTAACCATTTGGTTGACTGATTCGATCTACAAAAACTCATTCTTGTACAGGTAAAAACGATTATAAACATATGTTTTAAACCTATAATATGAAATCAAACAAACCCGCGAAAAATCCAATTGCACGAGTTCGATATCTATTTATATCTTTGTTTATGTTTATATCCGGTTATATGACCGTCGGCAGTCTTCGGAGGTCACCTCGATTGTTAATTAGATGGCGTCTAGACTAAAATACACACAAAATGTTGATACATATTATCGAGTCCGTGCATCGTAAATTGATTAATTTAGACTTTTTATAATTTGGATATACGTTTTAGTATGTTATAAATCAATTACGAGAATTTGAGTCAAATCGCTGAACACTAATTTGACAGCTAATGCCCCTTTAAATATTTGTAATAACCTTTATCATTTTAGATGAATATTGTTTTTTCGTCATGAATTCTACTGTGGAATACATTTCACATCCAATCTTTTATGGTAATAATCATTACAAAGCTCAAAAATGTCGGCATTCACCTCAAAAGCTAACCAAACCTTTAAACAGACTTATTCAAAAGGGATATAGTTACGATACTGTTGTCAGGTCATTGAAGATGGCATATTTTGGTATTAATATTGATTCACTCATAGGGTCTTTGCATCAGAAATAAACACATTTGTTCTAAAACCAGTTGTTGGCATAATACGGGTTATGTTCTTCTCATATATTTTATGATGGTATGATACTAAACCCATAACGGGAGGGATTGTGCTTGATTTTCATATGATGAAGACATAATCTTTCAATCAGTTTAATTGAAGTCTGGAGCTAGCATGTCAGTAACTGCTAGTAACTGCTAGTAGTCCTTTGTTAATTTATGTATCATTGTCATTTTGTACTTCGGACTCGGACTTTTTTAAAACTGAGTTTTACTGTGCGTATTGCTGTGTGTTTGTTTATTCTACATTGGCCAGAGGTATAGGGGGAGGGTTGAGATCTCACAAAACATGTTTAACCCCGGCGCACTTTTGCGCCTGTCCCAAGTCAGGGGCCTCTGGCCTTTGTTAGTCTTTTATGTTTTTTTTAATTTTAGTTTATTTATATGTTTTGGAGTTTAGTATGACGTCCATTTTCACTGAACTAGTACACATTTGTATTATTAGAGGCCAGCTGAAGCCTGCCTCCGGGTGCGGGATTTTCTCGTTGTGTTGAAGACACATTGGTGGCCTTCGGCTGTTTTCTGCTCTTTGGTCGGGTTGTTGTCTCTTTGACATATTCCCCATTTCCATTCTCAATTTTATATCTTTCTTACAGTATCTACTATCTATTTTGACGAGCAAAAAAAAAAACACCACAAGTTCCAAATATTTACAACTCTATAAAATGCTTTTATTTGCTATTAAAAATTTTAAGTTTGGGTCGAAATTTTGATTATGCTTTTTTAATTAGTTTCTGCCAACTGTTAACCGAATGCATTTGTTTTTATCCAACAGTCAATGAACCAGTTCGTTATTTGCGTGTTTAGAAAATACGTTTGCTATTCGTGTGCATCATGCTTTTGTATTCATCATTTTCATACTAGTTATTAATTAATGTTTTCGCACTATATATGACATGTTATGGTGACAAAGTTATCTTGCATGTTGTGACAAGGCATGATGTTTTATGATTTGACAAAGAGTAAGTAAATTATAATCTTCATTCTGAAAAAAGGTCGATTTTAAAACAGCTTAAAACCCATAAAAGATTTGATTGAGAATTAGAAAATTGATTTACGTAGCCCTTCTACTTAGAACATATATATGAAGAATAAAGTAAAGCGTCACGCCTTGTCATACTTACATAACCATGCATATATACTAACACAATACCTCATTTAATTTGCTACAGGAACCAGTGCAATATCAACCTACTGCTGATAACAATAATATCACACGGTGCACAATTGAAATGAAGACAATAGTTAGACAAAACAGTAACACTAGTACAGATACTTACAATAGTTGTCTGACTCAACCACCGAATAGTCCTCTTAACAAGTCGCCAGGCAAGGGCAATATTTTATGTAGTCCCACATGCAAGACATTGTGTGGGAAAATTTCAAATGCTCAACATAATTTATATATAAATCCTATGGATGACTCCGATTCTGGTATGGAAACTATAAATTCCGAATTAAATGACCTTACGGGTATTTGTGGTAAAAGTACATTAGAGAAAAAAGACTCTGAGCAGCCACTAGTTGTAAATGCATTTTCTGATCCGCCAATTAGCCAATCGAATCAAGTGATACAAAAATTGAATGAAGGTTTCACCACAACATGGCAGCTATATCCAAATCCCCAGCAAGAAGATGTTAGGCCTGAAATTAAACCGCCTAGCACTGTTCCACTTGGGAATCCGAAAAGGTCTAGCCTTAAGAGACACAAATCAGAGACCAATGAAAAACATCCTCATTTTAGTGATATTAAAGAACGCAGCTATTCATCAACAGACAATCTTCACTCGGAATGTACATCTTCAAAAAACAAAAGTATTAAATTTAGAAAAGCTGTATCTTTGGCAAGCAGACTTCATTCTAGTCCTTCAACAGGAAGAAAACTTGCAAATTATCACCTCATCGCAAATCCACAATCAGGTAAACACATTGTTGTCGTAAATCTTTATATAACTTTTTTTTCTGTCTGTGTTTTTGTAGACTAGGCAAGCACAACAATGTTAGAGAAGATTTTTTTTTCTTCAGAAAGGGACTCATGTTTTTTTTTAAATATAGCATACTTCACAAACTACAATAAGGACTATTTTTGACAAGAAAGATAGCAAAGTAATATTTTCCTGTAAAAGCATTGAGGCAATCTGTACATTTGTTTGAGGTTATTCTTTAAGGGGAAAATGTTTTTACTTACAAAAGCACAATTAGCAAGAAACAACAGATGTATTTCTCTTCTTATTCTAATCCCATCGATGCAATTTGTACTAAATATATAAGACGAGCCTTCACCTTGTAAATACAACCAGAACGACCGTTAAAAGGGGGGTTTGAGTGGAAACCTTTATCTTTGTAGCAAAATTTTTCTACCTTATAAATTATGAAAGACTCGTACTCTAAAGACTAAATGGCAAAATTCTAAAAAGATCATAGTCGGAATGCGTGTTGATAATACACCTGTATATGCTGATTGTTATTATTTCCTGCACCTTATATATATATGTGTATATATATAGACTAGCTTGCACACTGAGATAGATAGTTTGCACATTATTTTGTATGTTCTTTAGACACGTTTTGGAAAACACTCATAAATTTTAAACCTATTTGCATGCTGAATTATTTTGTCTTTCAGACGAAACGTTTCTCCTTTACTGAGTGAAGAATTCCAATGCCGATGAAAAAGACAGATTTCAGGTGCGATACATTGGTGTGACCTGTGCTGCATATAAAATCCACAATCTACCCACCATCATCAACTTTCGCTTTAATTAGCTTTTACCTAGCTTTTGGTCCTATTTAGTTCGTTCCATGTTTTATGTTCTTTGTTTTATCTTCCTTTTTCACTCTGATGGTTTAATGTTTTTTTTTTAATATTTATTTTAACTTCAATTTAATATAGCATATATTATGACTTGTTTGCAAGTTACAAGTGTTTTTTATACGTTTTTATAAATTTAGTTTAAATATACTAGCTTACAACTTTAATTTATTCCAAATATTTATGGTATATAGTTAGAAAGATTTAGAATATGATAAATTAGTTTCTCATTTTATCCATAATAAAGAAACGTAATACTTTTCTAGAAATACAGCAACAACATAAAGAAACTAATGTTAAGTCTGGGATAAGAATTTTATATATAAATATATATGAGCTAAGTGTATTTCTGTCCCAATATACAATATGTCAAACATTCGGTGTGTTGACTTTCGCTCCATTTATCCCGCTTATTACTTGGTCACACCAGTGTTTGCATATCCCTGAAATCCTTGTTTCTTTCTTTGTCTCAGTCTTAGTTCATTATGCTTTTGCTTTTGTTGCAATAATTTTGCACTTACTTTCTATGCGATGCCATGGATATTAAATAACGTTTGAAAACTTGCTTTCTCTACGATACTATGGATAAAGAATATAGTTCGCAGGCTTACTTTAGATGCGATATTATCAATTTCTTCCTGTTTAAAAGAAGTATTAACAGATTGATGACGTCAATTTACCAAACGTGAGTTGGTCTCCACTTTGTTTAAGATTTGTATTGCTTGTGGTTTCTCTGAAAAGTTTGTATAGGAAAAAAAACTCAGTTTTATTGTTGATGCTTTAAACGTGAAATATTTAGAAATGAAAAAAATTGTAGCAAAGGCATTCATTTGGTACATTCGAATACTGACTATTATGGACTTAGGAATATTAGTAAAATCTTCATAAACATCTCCAAAGACATTATATACACTGTGTTAAGAAAACACACACAAAGAACATTAACTGTTACAAAATTTGCCGAAAGAAGAGAGGTTAATATAACACAATCGATATGAATTCAAATGTTCGAATTTGCTATAAAATTAATTTTTAATGTAAACTGCATTAGATGTTTTTGTATTTGGCTATAGTGAGGCTTACTACTCATTTCATTTCCAATTTCAGGAACATTAGATATGGACAGAGTGGCAAAAACAAAAACACGAAGCTGCAGTAGCTCCCCTTTATTTGATCAGCCACCGACAAAGAAAAAATCAATTTTGAAAAAGGATGACCTTCAGAATAATTTTCCTTCAACAGATAAATCGACGACGAACGACGATGACGTTTTTCTTCCTGACAATAATGTCAATTTTCAACAAACAAATTCTAACATATTTTCTGATTTAAATCAGAGTCCTGTTAAAGATGGCAATGACAACAATGGGAAGTATTTGGCGAGTCCCAGTTCTCAAATATCAACAGAATTCACTGGAAGTCAAAGCATCGGAGATTTAGAATTCAGTGACAGTATTGCAAATCAACATAAATTATCAAATTGGCAGTGTGATGGTCAATCGTGTCAGAACGATACAAGTCCATCGGACAATTTAGATGTAGACGAAAGTATATTAGGCTCAAATTCTTGTGATCATTCTCCTTCTGACATGAGTTTTTCTTCTCATAATTTTAACAGGTTATCTCCTCTTGACAATGAAAACCTGGATGCAAAATCAAATGCTGACCAAAGGGATTTTATATATTCCAATTCTAATCAAAGTACCGTAGTACCTATAGATGCTTTAATTAACAATCTCAGTAGACAGCATTCTGGAGACAGTGGCAAGGACCAATATACGTCTGCGAATGCAAGTGGGTGACGGAATGTGTATACTAGAAATAGGTACATTATCTTAACCAATAATATATAACGTATAATATAACTAAACATAAAACCTCTAAAGATGAATGCATATTACATAACAGTACATGTTATTCCAGGTAACTACAAAGAATCAGATATCATTGTTGATCGCAGGTGGTATATATTGAAGATCTATGAATTTGATCTGTGTCTGTCTCTTTTTCTTATTTGTGCATTCAGTACTTTCCGAAAGACACAATTTTTGTATACCATTATTCGTGTTTCCAATACAAATCTCATGATTCTAGATTCAAATAGACAAATATAGAGGTGACCACAGTCGGAATCGCATACGGAGTTAGTCCACGTACGTAGATAGGATAACATCTTCGGTCATGTGATTCTAGATTCAGACCGAGTAATAAGTGCCACATGATTAGTGATTAATTGATTAATTTGTTGGTAAACATCCTGCGGCAAATTTACGGAATTTCTTCCCATGATTTATATATATTTTGCCATCCGCTCTACTGTTACATATATTCAAGACTCTAACATGGTATGAGACATTTTCGAATTTTGAACGTGCTACTTCACAAGTTACAAAAAAGGACAGCAGGCATATTATTCTAACCTCGGGAGGATAAAATTAAAGTCTGTTTTTTAAGTCGGGAACTCTTATTAATATCAACATTTCATATACGTATATATATATCTGAGATTATTGGTCAAAATTTCATGAAAATCAGTATACAAATGAGTTCAAAATATCTATTAGAAATTTATTAATTCTTTAAAATATATATCGAGAAAAAAAAATAGAAAAATGTTTTTTTTTTAAGTGAACGACGAACTCGGTAATAGATAATAAAATTCCAATGAGTTTACCGAGTGGCTTCCGATTACTCGGAATTCACCTTATTTTTAGATTCACTGTAACTTTCATTTCACAAATCTCAATAACTTATTCATATTAATAACCTAAAACATTTTAATGCCCCAGTTCAGAAATCGTACAACTAATACGTCAAGCATTTAGACCTTAATATTAGAGTTAAAGAGCACCTCAAAATGAATACTAGTAAGTCGAATGCCAAGTCAATGAATGTTCATTCTAACACTCAAGTAGAACTTCGAGTGATGTTGACGAGTATTTAGGTTGCCAGAAGAGGTCGTTAAAAATGATTCTGCGTATTGTTGATATACTTTCATTACTTTTGTCATATAGACACATGATTTGTCTGATATATTTGTGACATAATACGTAAACCATTTATTTATACTTGTAGATATAAGAAAGCAACCTTGTAAGTTGGAAATGAAGAAGGAAAACAGTACTTTAAATGTAGATAGCAGCATTTGAAGTTATGTGACTGCAAATAGTCAACATACATGGAACAATTGAGTGTTTACTATCGGATAGTTTTAGGATGTTTCAGCTCAGAATATTAGGTTTTTGAACCCATTGTCTTTGACCGTTTGCTAATTACGGTATTTAATTTCGATCAGTATCATTTCCCTTAGACATCCATAAACACTTTAAAATAAATCTTTTCAAAAATCGTGTTTTATTCCGTTAGAAAGAACAAAAAGTTACATTTGTATTAGTCAGGTTGAAAGGTCAATCAAGTTCAATAAGGTTACACTATTGAGTTTTATCCTGAAACTAACAGTGGTCGTATATGAAGTGATATAACTTTGATATTTTTGTAAATATAAAGAACGTAAAATTATGAAATAGTAACTAATCATTTTTATTTGAAGTTGATAAATCGCAACTTTTCAACATAGGCCAAATCGTCGAATGATAAAAATGTGAAATATTTTTTTAGTATTTGAGTTTTGTCATTAGATTTTCATTGGTATTGCCAAAAATATATATACCTAATATGGCATTTTACATACTATTGGGTAAAGTTTGACCACCTTTTTTCTTTCCTTTTTTGAGAAGGTGACTGATGATTATTTTTCTTACACTTTATAAACGTCATTTCTATTCGAGCTGTAAAGCTGGTAGGATAATTGCATTTTTCAAGTATTTTCATAAGAAGACTATCACTTTGGATATCGCACACCACTGACGAGAAATATATTTCGTAATGCCAATTTATGGACCATAAAATTTAATTCTATGTCTTGTAATTATGTATTGATATAAAACCTCTTTTATTAAATGCGAAGTTGATATAAAGAATAGATTAGAAGTCTATTGATTAATTTTAATGGATCTTATTCATTTGAAGAGTAATAATGTTGAAATAACAGTGAGAATCAAATAACAGACAATGAATTGAACAATCACTTAGATACAGTGTGTATGAGATCATCATACTTAAATATTTATAAAATTTCCAAAACTTTTATAGATTTCTCATTTCAATTGTGCATAAAAAACGTTTTTTTCTCTACAAAACTGGGCATAGTGATATCTCTAGTACGATGATTACCGCTATTATCAGAATTTGTAAGAATAATACCCATTTAGTTGTGCTTTATTGAACATACATTTGTGAACCTTTAATCTAAAAAAGTCACTGAATAGTATAATAACCCTTTTTCTTGTTGATTTTTTATGAAGGCTCCTACACCGCTATGTATATATCCTACATAATTATGCTTGTGCAATTAGCATAATTTACATTAGATGAATATGGAAAGTGTATAGACAGTTTATTATAAATTCTACATAAATGTCATCGTGGTTTCAATTTTTGTACCATTTAGGGAGAACAGCATGGCAGGCTGTATTTATATTTATTCAACTTAAAATATCTCATTTACTTTATTAGATGTCTTTACTTTCAAAAGTTATCTTACAAAAAGTTTTAAGGCATCTCAAATTATTTCACAGGTTATAAATTAAGGCAACAGTAGTTTATCGATGTTCACATCTCGTTAATCGATTAAGAAGACACAAAACAAGGTAACAAACAAAACTTGAGCGAATCGCATGAACTCCAAAATGAGCGAGATTTGAATTGTTGAAGGGTAAACGTCTCCGGATATGCATGCATTATCCGCCATGAGAATTCACACTCCGTCAAAAAGTTAAAAAAAATAATAAAAGATATAAGATATCTTGCAAATTAGATATTTCATAATGTATAATTGATACCTCATATTTTTTTTTCATTTTTCAAGTGTTTTATATATTTTATGAGATACGTGTATATCAAATATGATTAAACTCATCATAGATACCAGTATAAAAAAATATAACACAGGTAATATATCTAATAACAAAAGTAAAATATAAAGAAAAAAATATCTTATTTTCTTTAAAAGATTTGCATAATATATCTATGATATATTTTGAATAATTGATAAAGATCTTTGATAGAATTTATATTATATCTTGTATATTTATTGAGATGTCGAATAAAGAAAAGTTTGTAAGATATCTTTTGTTTTTATAGGATATCTTATATAATTTAAAATTTACAATTGTCTCATATAATAACTAGGATATCTTATAAAGGGAAGTTTATATGATGTCTTCTATTTTACAAGATATATTTTTAACTGTATTAATCTATTATAGGATAGCTGATATCTTATTAAGTATATGAGATACCTTAAACTTAAATATGAATATGGCGTGCCATTTATCATACGGTGCTACGTGTGTGTACTTAGGAATACTTGTTTCATATTAAGAAATCTAGTCCCAGCTTTTTTAAAGAGGAAAAATATTGCATTGATTGTTAATATCTATGATATTATAAAACATATTTATGTATAATTCTTAAAGATATTGTTGGCATTACTATTACTGATAAAAAATATATTTTATATTACGATCACTTATTAGTATCTTGGGCTTACTCTTGAATCCTGGATGAAAACAATAGAATACTGAACACTTGCCTGTAGTCAGATTGTGATTTTTTAGCTGTGATATTATAAATAAAACCAAATATATGATGGTTTATGAAAATAGGATGGATTATTATAAGTTTATTTTGAACAAGTGATATGAAAAGTTATTGCTGAAAGTTGCCAGCTGTTTGTATTATGAAATATGATTTTCTTTACCAATTCTCCGATGATGGCCGATTTCAATTCCTAGATATAGAAATACACATTTGCCTTATTTTTGAATTTTTTTATATTTTTTTTTATTATCTTAGTTCTAATGTTTTGAGTAGCATGTTAATATTTTATTCGAAAATATTGTTTTGTTTATTAAACTAAAAGATATGATGCAGTTTGATTTGATTGTTTATATATTTATTTGTTTTAGTTCAATTTTTTACTCGACCTCGTCTCGTTACAATTTGTTTTGATTGTTATGTGATGCTACCACCTTTTTTACAATTGTCTCTTGCACTACTGTTGTTATCTTGTATATAAATGTTTTTGTCTTCCTGTTATATTCCTTGCC